ATATTTAGCTTTAGTAGATATTATGAAAGAATACCCATCAGTGCTTGGAATTGTTGGTTGTTCATATGTTAGGCATTCTGGAACTTTCTGTGGTATTTCATTATTAATTTGTGTTTCCCTGATGATCAGTGATGTTAAATAACTTTGCACATGCTTATTTGCCTTTTGTGGTTACTTGTCTTGTCTTCTTTCATTTAGAAGAGGTGTAAGTCTGTTTCTTATTGCTTTGTAGGAGGCCTTCATATCTTCTGAATGCAAGTCCTTCGTCAGCTGTATACATTATGTTTTTCCAGAATGTTGTCTTTTTGTTTGATGTTTTATTTTGATAAAGAGATGCTATTAATTTCAATGAAGTCCAATTTAGCAAATGACATTTATTTGTTTATTTATTTTTGGTTCTGGGAATTAAACTCAGGGCCTTGCGCTTGCCAGGCTAGAGCTTATGCCACTGAACTACATTCCTGGCCCCACAAATTATATTTATGGTAGTACTTTTTATATCCTGTTTAAGAAGTGTTTGCTACCTCCAAATCATAAGACATCATAGTACGTTTTCTTCCAGACTTGCTGTTTGGGTATGAGACCCACTGTAAATTAATTCTTATGTGAGCTATAAAACCCACTTCTTCCTCCTCATGAACATCCAATTAGCACAGTTTACTGAAAATCTTATTCTTTTTCATTGTATTTCAGTAGCACTTCTACCACAAATCAAGTGACCACATAGGTTTGTGTCTAATATTATGCCCTGTTATACACATTTGTTTCTTTGTCTTCGGATCAATACCTTCTCTCTTAAATGTAGTAGCCTGGATATCTTGTAATGTAAATCCTTCTGTAGTGTTCATCAAATTGGCTCAAGCCCTTAATTATATTGATTTGTATTTCAGTATAAATTCAGAATCATTTCGCTGATCAAAAGGAAAGAACCACTGGAATGAGGGAAAGGAGAAAAGAAAGAAAGAAGGAAGGGAAAAATATATCTATACACAGTATAGCTAAGATAATTGTACTACTAATTTCTATTGGTTTATTGAAAGGAACAGTTAATGCTTAATTTTTTTGACCAATTCTACATGCTTATCTCTGGTAATCTGAACAACTGCTTTGAAGACAAAAATATGCACTATAACAACCATTGTTGAATTTCTATCATCTTGTTTTCTGAAATTCTGTATAGTTTCTAATTTTTATTATTTTTAAAATTCTCTTTAAAATAAAAAAATAAAAAGTTTTTAAAAATTTAAGATCAGTTAATCAACTTCCACAAAACTAAGTACCCATATTTATTTGAGATTACACCGAATCTGAGGATTATTTGGGGGAGAGTTGATATCTTAACTATCAACTCTCCCAATTTATGAATATGCTAATCTCTCCACTTATTGAGGTCTTTAATTTCTCTTAGCAAAGTTGTATAGTTTTCACTGTAGAGCCCTGCTATTTAATCCTGAGTATCTGCTCATTTTGGTACTACTGAAATGATATATAAATATTTTAAAATTGTATTAGTTACTTAACCGTTACTGTTTAATTTTAATTTATTAGCAAATGTGTGTCATACATAATGTTGGCATTCGTGTGGGAAGTTGATACATGTACATAACACACCTTAATTTCTCTTTTCATCCCCTTTCCCTTCCCTTCTTCCCCCTGCTACCTATCTCTTGGTGTCCTCCCCACCCATACATTTTACAGTATATAATGCTTACAATCCTTGTGTGCAGTTGGTACATATAAATGACATCCCAATTCCTCTTTTTTTAAAATACCTTATCCCTTCTCACTACTACTTTCAAAGGATATTTTTGCTGCATATGAAATTCTACTCTAGCATCTTCTTTCAACACTCTGAAGATTCCATTTCCTTTCTTCTGGATTCTCTTGTTTATATTAGGATGTTAACTTACCTGTTTTCCTCTGCTACCTTAAAGATAATGATACCTTATTTTCTCTGTCTTATTTATCATTCTTGTTTGACTTTAGTTCTAGTTACTTTATGGTCATGTATTGTCTTCCTTGGGCTCGTAGTATTTCTTGAACCTGTGGATTGACGCTATTTTTCAGTTTTGGAGATTCTCAGCCAATTATCTTTTCAAATATTAGTTCTGACCCATTCTCTTCCCACTTGCCCTTAGGGATACTGATTAGATATATTTTAGACTTTTTAAAAATCATGTTCTATGTATCTTTCATTCTGTTTTCTATAGTTTCCAAACCCCTTTCTCTGTATTCTGTTTAGTTTTGTCTATTTTCTATTTTCATCTCCCAGTACTCTAATTCTCTCTTCAGTTGTATCTATTCTTCTTTTAAAGTTGTATATTGTTTTCTGTTTCAATTATTTTATTTTCTAGATTTTCCATTTATTTCTGTTCTAGATTTCATCTTTTAAATTATATGTATAAGGTCTCCTCTTTTTCATGAACATATTAATTATATTTATTTTAAAGTTTGTGTTTGAAAAAATCATAAAAACCTTGGAAACGATATAGAGTTTTTTGTGTTGTTTTTGTCTTTGTTGTTATTTTGTTATTATTTTTTCCCTTTAAAATAGTACATGAAAAAAAGTAATGTGTTTGATCATTCTAACAGTTGAATCAGTTATACTTCTGCTTTTATTGTGAACTTTTGGTCTTGGTTCCAGTTCTTGGTATGATTATGTTTATGGTATGATTATGAAATATCTACTTGTATGCCGGGTATTTCTGCATGAATTTTGCAGGAGCTTTGCATAATGTCATCCTCCTCCAGAGAGAACACATCCTGTTGTTGAGTAAGCAGTAGGAAGACAGAGCACTTTGCTCTAATCAGGGACTAACCTTCCCCCTTTGCTCCTATTCCTAGCATATAATCCTCTCAGGGTCTCAAATTGAAGTGTACTTCCTATAGCCTCTACCTTTTGTTGTCTGGGAACACAATGTTTTGCTTCTTCATTATTTTTTTATCACTTTTAATTTTAAAGAGTATAAAAAATTAAAAAAGACATTAAATATGATGCAGAATCTCAAAACAAGGTGATAGGAAATTAATAATGGTTCTTAAGTTGCTTCTTGCTATCTTTGAAGTAGTTGCTCAGATGACCAGATATAGGCATGCAAAACTGATCAAAATTTAACCATGAAGTATTCCTTTGAATAAACCAATAGAAATCATCATTTTTATATGTAAATAAATTCTGTTCTACTCTTAAACTCCTCTGCTCTTGGTGTCTTAGCTTGTTTCTCTATGCAATTTAACCAGAAGGTGCCTCTTAGGGCCCTCACTGAGTGAAGGCTCACTCCTTGGCAACTTGCCTCTTCCTGAAATCCTGCCCCCAAGCCCTGGCTCCCTCCATAACCCTAGAATCCCAATCCTGTCTTCCCTGCTTCAGAGGTTGCCTACACTCTCTGGGTTTCTGGACTTCTTAGCAGCTTTTGCCTTCCTTGTTCTCAGCTTCTTGCCCTATCCTTCAAACTGCCAAAGATTCCATGGAAGAAAGAGATGCAGAAATCTGGGCTCCCCTCAGTGAACTCCCCTTTTCTCTGTAGTGTACCATTTTAGGTCCTGGCTGCCTCAGACATTTCTCAGATGCCTTTAAGCAGATGGTTTCATATATGCTAACTTTTCATGTATAACTTTTCCAGCGAACACTCCTGCTGACATCTACTACGAACTATTCATCAGAGTTGGAAGCTTTTACTATCTTTAAATTTTAATAAACACATGTACATTCTCCAACCTACCCAAAGGAAGAGAAATAAAGTAACATTTAGTAAAATTGAACAATATATGACTACTGTGAGTTTTTCTCTATCTGTTGTGATATATAATAGCTTCAGAAGTGTCTTAATGTGAAACTACCTGCAGTGCAGATTTTGATCTTGCTATTGCTTATGTTAAGGTAGAGAAAGGGAGATTAAAATGTTACTTAACTATTTATTTGTCTGGGTGAAAGACCCTCAGTGTCTGGGAATGCTGACATTACTACCATGGGGTCACTGGTTGCAGGGACGGATAGCACTGAGGCGAAATAATTCACCCCCATCTCAGTTTAGCCATATGCAGCAATGCTGCTGTGTAGAAGTTGATGTAATTTACAGGCTGAGATGAATTCTACTACTTTCCTCAGCCTTCTTTGTGCAACATGAATATCTCAGTGGTCCAAAAGTTTGACAGCTGTTAATCAGTCATGAGATCAACAAGCTCCACTTTAAGTTGACAGCATTTGGTCTCATAGAGTTTCGCTATGTAGTTCAGACTACACTTGAACTCACTTTGCAGCTCAGGTTGGCCTTGAACTTGCAGCAGTTCTCCTGTGTCAGCCTCCCAAGTGCTGGGATTGCAGTTGTATGCTACCACACCTGGCTAAGTCAACAGCATTTTAAAAGCTGTCCAATAAGAGCAAGAATGGTAGGAGGTATGTCTGTCTTGTTCAGGGGGCCTTTAGAAAAATGCTCACTTCAGATTTGTCAAGGGAAGAAAGTGGCCAGTTTTTAGACCTTACATTTTGGATAAATATTGTGTACAAATCATGCAGGAGCATTGAGGGATGCACAAGGAATCTAAAACATTACCCACAGCAAGTCGAGCATCCCAGTACGCTAGGACCAGCCAAAACTTAGCCCACTGGTCAAAGCAGTCTATTGTTAAAGGTGAAGATTGCTGTAGCAGGCAAGTGCTATGAGGGGTTTGCTGAGGGGAGATCTAGGGGATATGGGAGGATCCAGAAGGGCTCCCTGGGGCAAGTGGGTCTCATAGTGATGCCAGTGTTCAGCAGCTCACAGCCACTGCTTCCAGAGATGAAATGGTGCCTGCCTCTGCCTCATAATTTCCACGGGCTCCTTCATCTTGCTTTGGTTCTGCGGTCTGCTTCACATTTGACGGCAAGTGTCACTTTCGCATTCTGTGGCTTTTTCCTGGACAAGTCCATCTCTCGTGCAAGAAGGGGTTGTGGCATGTGGGTGTGGTGGAATGTCTTCTCAGGCCTCCTTTCCTCTCGGAACCATTATTTTTCCTTCCAGAATGAAAACTCACCTGCAAACCTGTCCCTGGGCCACACTTCAGCTTCTCCTTGGGGTTCAGCATTGCAGGAGGATGAACGGAAAGACCGAGCCATGCAGAGATCGGGGCCCCACTGCTCAGAGCTTTGAAGGGGTTTCAACAAATTAGTGGCATTGAGAGAAAATTCTTTTAAATCATTTCCTCCCTTTTTCTTCTTGGCTCCGTGAATTTTTCCAGAAGGCAATGGCCAGAACTTTATGGAAACCAAATGATATGTTACATGAGCGAAATGAAAGATAATTGATTCAGAATATGAATTCTTGTCCTCTCTATAGTTTGGTACAGGAGACTTTCCTCCTTCATCTTTGGAATCCCAAGGAGGGGTTGTTTATTTAGGCTGATATTAATTTGTCAGATGGTTAGCCTCAGAAATAGTTCTTATAATAGCAAGGAGGCGTCCTGAGAGTGACAAGCAGATTGTGAGGGAAGCAGGATTGGGAACCTGTGCTGACAATAGAGATTGGCAGGCTCCTCCCTGTAGACCGCTTTTTCCAGCACCAAGACAGTACAAGGTGTGCCGCAGAAGTTCACTCCATTCAGTTGGACTGACTGTCGGCATTGAGTGGCACGTCTTATCTGCGATAGTTGTGTGTTCTTATTTCCACTCCTCACCTGTCTAACAGTGAGGGTCTCTTGGTCTTATTGCTGACACCAGGAAGCTGTTAGAATGAAGGTTGAGGCACTCAGGAAGTTTCCAAACCCATCATCATCTTTTCCTCCGGGGTCTCTGCAACTACCCGGAGCCTCTGGGGACATAGTGGAGAAATGGGAGTTGAGTCCAGCCTGGGAACCCACATTGGGTTGAAAGAGTTCTCCCAAAGGGTTCATATTGAGTAGTTGGGCCCTACCCAAAAGGACCCTCCAGAGGGCATACAGGGTTCAAGCTGCAGTCCTTGCCTTCACTTTCCTCAAGATTTCAACTGATGGTTCAGAGGACACTAACGGCCTCTGTAGACTAGTGTTGTGCAATTTACTGTGTAAAGGGCCACATAGTAAATAGTCTAGGTTTCCACAGGGTGTGTGGTCTCTGTTGCTCAACTACTCAATTCTGTTGCTTAGCTCAGAGGGAGCCATAGATAATATGTAACCACAGGAGCATGGCTGCATTCCAATAAAACTGTAATTTTGGACACTAAAATTTGAATCATTTTTACTTATGAAATATTGTCCTTTGTTGGATTTCCCCCCAACATTCATTTAAATATTTAAGTCATTCTCAGCCTATAGGCTGTACAAAAGAAGATGGTGGGCTAGACTTGGCTTGAGGGTGTAGTTTTTTGATCCCCAGTGAGAGTCCTACAATAGATTATGTAGAGTCAAGGTCCCCAAGAACCTTGAACAACTTAAATAATGAACCAATTCTAATAAAATGAAACATGATGGGATCCATTCACTCATTCATTAAGCAAATATTTATTGAGTGCCTATTTGTTCTGATCACTGACAACACAGCAGTAAACACTTTAGCAAAAACCCTGCCTTCAGGAGCTCATGATTTTCATACTCCAAAGACAGGTACCTATCAGAGCTCAATTTGGACTCCTAAAAGCTAAACACCTCTTGCCTCTGAAGACAGATAAAATTCTACCCCTAGGTTCAGAGGACCAAACCTACAAATACAAGAAGAAGGTCATATCTTATTTGGGGGTCTCTGTTGATTCAGCATGAGTCCGTGGCATGTTGCAGCTGAGTTAATAGTAACATACTCTTAAGTCATGCTAATGAAACTACAGAATTTGGAGCCAAGATGTGAACTTTCATTTCTTTTCTGGGATGGTCAGGCCCTTCCTTGAATATTGATCTAGAAGTTATGTGATTCCCTTATTCAACATTTATGTATGAAATGCCTGCTTTATGCTATACATAAGATGGAGACCATGGCAATGGAGGCTGGTCTATTGTCAAAATCTCTCCCTTTATTTATGGGACAATGCTACAAGTGAGACAAAGAAGTGAATACAAAAGGGTTTGGAAGAGTATGTGGGTTGTACAATTTCAAAAGGCTACTAGGAGTACCTAAGCCATGCCTCCACTGAAGAAGCTGATGTAAAGGCATAGTGAGGTCTTTCCACCATGAGTAGCTCAGAGCTACAGAACATTGAGCTGGATGGGTCCTGGGTCCCCCAATGATTTTCTGGTGAGAATCTCAGAGGACACTAATGGTATCTCTTTGATGCCATTATGATGACACTAATGAATCTCTTTAAAGTACAGTGGACACTAAATTATCTGGTGTTGGAATTATTCATTGTTTAGGAATTTCCCATTTCCATTGTGCAGTTTACAGTACTGTTCATAATTATGACTTTGAGACTCAGATTATATCATTAAAGAATAATGTTTAATATCTTGATATTAAATACATGATCGCATGTTTCAATTGTTTAACACGGTACCTTTCCCCTTTGTCCATTTCTTCTTTTTCTCTTTCCACACAGAAACACATCTTTTAATTAATAGCATTTTATACTTGATGAAGTATAATAGTCATGCACTGTATGACAATATTTTGGTTAATGCTGGGACACACATTCAGTAGTTGTTTCATAAGATTATAACAGAGCTGAAAAATCCTTATTTCTGAGCAATGATGGAGTCTTCATGACAACATAGCAGTACAACTGCTCACTTCTGTAGTGATGCAGATGTCAATAGACCTACTGCACTGCCAGTTTTGTAAAAGTATGGTGCATTCAATGATGTATAGAACAGAATAGATCATGATGATAATAAGTGACTATGTTACTGGTTTACGTACTTGCTATGCTATTCTTTTTATTATTATTTTCAGATGTAGTCCTTTTTTTTTGTTTTTTGAGACAGAGTCACTGTGTAATTCAGGCTGGTCATGAATTTACTATGTAGCCCAGGCTGGCTTGGAACTCGTGCTGAACTTCCTGTCTCACCCTCCTGAATGCTGGGATTACAGGTGTGTGCCACCACACCCGGTCACTCCTTCTATTTACAAAGACTTTTACTGTAAAACTGTATGGTATGGTATGATATGCTGGCAGCAGACTCTTGTGTCTCATGTTTATGTATCTCTTGGCTGCAGCATTTTCTCTTAGACTTGACTTAATCTCTAGTTGCTTTGTTCATTATGTTGCTTGGAGTAATGGCCTATTATATATATATATTTATATATATATATATACACACACACTTATATATATTTATACACACACTTATATATATTTATACACACATATATACATACACACACCACATAGTCTAGGTGTGTGGTAAGTACCCTGCAGTATGATTGTTCAAAGATGAGATCTCCTAATGATTCATTTGTCAGAATGCATCTTTGTGACTATATTCAAAACAGACTATTTTCCTCTTAATTGTGGCAACTTTAGGCGGCTTTGATTGCCATAGTCTTTATCATTTCCATCCCAAGGCTAACCCAAGTAAAAATAATATTCTTTAACATAGAAAACAGATGTTTGCTCAATCTTATATAAAACACGAGTCAGCTCATCTTTATTTCGATTTACTCATAATAAAAGTTTTTACTAAAGAAGAACAATACATATGCTGTGTAGATGCAAATTTGAGAACAGTTTCTGTCCCTATTCAAGCCAGACTGCTGACCTTTTGATGCTCTGTTAAAAGGCTGTGGCACCACGGCAGAAGAGAGGTGATTTTATTTTGAATGCGTCTCTGCTTTCCTGAAGCAGCCTCTAACTCCCTTTCCTCCTTAGCGTGCTTCCTTGCAGTCATAAAAGAGTCTTGATGCAAGTATATTTTTATTTCAGATCAAGGTTATTTTTTGGTCAATTGCTAACTCATGCACTCACTGGAGATGAGTTCTCAGCTACTCTTTTCATCTAAATCAAGACCAGAAGGCTTACTGACTTGCTGGTAAAAGGATTATTTTGTACAAGGCTTGACAGTGGGGAGAGCCCTGCTCACTGTTAGATCTCTAGGACGTGCAGCACGTTTCATGTGACTGGTGGTTTAAATGCTTTCGACACATCTTCTTTCTGGTTTTCATTCTGCGTCGTTTTTTCAGAGTTCAAAGTGTCTCTCCTCCAGGGTTGTAGAAACTAGGTGATATACGACTGTCCCTAAATTTGTCCTACTTTCTGCTTTTAGCAGTAATCAAGCCTCATCCCTCAATTTAATTTGGCTAAAAGGGCTTGGGTTCTCACTGTTTGTGATTTCTTGTGATGTCCGGGAGACTCGTCTCTGGGTTTCTTCCCCTTCGCAGGGGCGGGAGTAAAGAAAGTTGACAGGCTTTGTAAGATACATTGTTTTCTTTGTCTTTCTCTTTTCTTTCCATTATATTTGAAGTTATTTTGTACAATTTAATAATCTTCTCCTTCATTTGTACATCTTTGGTGGAAAGCTTTGTGTAAGAATAAATAGAAGGACATGATATATATCCATGGGAGGGTCTGTTTAACCACATATTATGCAACCTTTCATGGCTAGTGTGGGAAAACAGCAAAATCTGTAATGTTAACCCTTCCATTTGTCAGTTCTTCCCAGCTCCAGTGTGCAATTAGGCAACCATCTCTGTACAATGACAAACACAGTAAACAAATCTGCAAGGAATTCAAATGGAGACACTAATGTTTTTGATATTGTAAGTGTAGTTAAATATGCCAGGTCTTGTGTGTGTGTGTGTGTGTGTGTGTGTGTGTGTGTGTGTGTGTGTATGTGTGTGTGTGTGTATAGTTCTAAAAGCTTTGAGGATATCTGATTTTTTTTCCAAAATGTGGAGAAGGGCCACTCTTCCTCACTCATCCCAAGAGTATTCCTGGTCACCCCAGTCTGAGACTATCTCTAATCTGAGGAATGCTGGCCATCAGCTCAGGGAACTTATGGTTATTATTGATGGCCTGCTCATGTACATGGAAGCCATTTCCCTTAAAACTTTTGGTCAGAAAATTGTTTTCCCTTTTGGAAATTGAAATGCTCTTGTTTAGTAAACAGAGTATCATATTTCTTTTTCTTGGAATCCCTTCCTCTCTGTCTTTCCTTCCTTCCCTTCTTTCTTTTCCCTTCCCTTTATTTTATTTCCTTTTCTTTTTCTTTTTCCTTTCCTCTCTCCTTCCCTCCCTCCGTCCCTCCCTTCCTTCCTTCCTTCCCTCTTTTCTTCCTTCCTTATACAGGTGTATAGCAATAAAATCATTTTGTTCAAGAACAATTTCCCCCACCATAATATTGTTTCTCTATTTAATTCCTATTTGTGAAATAATCATTTTCTTCTCACAAAAAGTTGTATTTGTTGTAGTAATGGCTGTTAGTATCCTGAAAGTGTAATGAAGAAAATAAATATCTAGATTTCCACTTGTCAAATGCTACAGTTTTGACATACTATTTTCATCTGGTATTTTTTTCTTTACAAAAATAATTTCTTATTGCTTAGTTGAAATTAATAGTAATGCATTTTATAGTCTGTATTTTTCATTTAAAATACTGTCTTTACATATGCTACTCATGAATTACATTAATAAATGTAACTTTTGTGTATATTTTTCTGCTATGTATTGACCATGTTTCCTCAACCATTGCACTACCATTGTCTAAGTAGGGTGAATCCAAGTTTTTCTTGAGTTTTTAGCTTAGTATATAACAACTACCATGGGGACCAAGCCAGTGTCAGCATTGTATCCACATATTTCCTTAGTGCGGGAGCTAATGAGGTTTTTAGTAAAGGTGCGGGTAGTAAATAGTTCAGACTTTTGAGGCCAGGGAGTCATTTACAGCTACTCAACAATTTTTTGCAGGGCTGAAGCAGCTACTGACAGTATGGAAAAGAATAGATACAGCTGGGTTTCACTAAAACTTGACTGCAATAGGACTAGGGTGGTAGCTTGCTAATTCCTGTTTTAGCATATGTGACGCTGTACTTATAGGCTTCAAAAAATCTTTTTCTTTTTTTTTTGACTAAGCAGGTAGTGAGTTATAAATCAATTGCATTATTCTCTCCTATGGAGTCCTGTACAACTAATAAGTCTGCATCTGTTCCCTGGCCCAGTTCATGGCCAACTGTAGGACAGAGAGAATGGCTCCAGGCCTTTGGCTTTCTTCATGGTCAGACAGGCTGTCTTAAGGCCGTGAGGCTGCAGGGAAATTGTCAC